GTGACTCTTCAAATTCAAGGATTCCGTCGACAACCTCTGCGGATTGTTCTGCTAGTTCGGCCCGATAGGCCGAATACCTCTCAGTGAGGTCTTTTGACAATATAAGGTTCTCCATAGACAACCTCATTTAATTGTGCTGCCAGTTGACTCTTTGGGACCCATTCAACGATCCCTTTATCGAAACAGCAGAATGCAATACTATTGGGGTCAACGAGAGGTGGCTTGCTGATTGATATACCGTCTTCTAGTGCTAATTGACAGATTGGAGATGCGTGTGCATATGTTACCTGCGATTTGGTGTTTGCTTTGACGTACTCTACCTTATCCCCATTCCAAAATGCTAGCATCTGATGGAGGGTTGATGGTACATATTGATTGCCATGGATCCAATCTCGGTCCAATAATAAATTGTAAGATCCATCTGCATCAACCACGCAAAAGGACGTTCTGGAAGTTTTGCTACCCACGGTTAAATCGGCTATGAAAATACCTTTAACTTCAGAGATTTCTCCAGTAAAGTCGGACAGTTGAATGTTCGACGGAATAATCTCTTCATCTAGTCTTCCCAGTCTCTTGTAGAAACGATATGGGATGAGGTTCAGTGTAGATCCCCCATCTACCAACACTCTAGATACCGGTCGACCATTAACTTTTGCGTTGATATTCAAAGCCCTTAAATGATTTGAACCCCTGTGGAGGTTTTTCAAACTCCACTACCTCCTCCATGTCAAAGTGGAACTCTGCTTTTTCTTTTTCTTCCATTATATCCTCTGCCGGACGATCTGACTCCATCGTCATTACCCGAAGGTTCGATGGAAGACATACTCGAACCATACAAGAACTCAACGATGAAATTGATCTTGACAATTGTTGTGGTTCGCATCGCACAAGCTCAATGTCTTGTTTTGGTGAAGATTGCTGAGGTCGACAAGATGTCGACGCTTGAATTCCTGATTTTTGTTTCTAGACTAAACTCCCACGCTTAGGATTTTTCGACCTGGCTTTTTGCTCAGTAATCAAGACTGGTTTCACCTGCTTGATGTGAACTTGATTTACTCGTTGTTGGAGCTGATATTCTTTTCTTTTCCGCAACATTCTCCTTTTTGAGTCCGCGTTAGGTTTGAACTGTGATTTCGAGTTTGGCTGACCTCATACCATTGACCTACAAGTGGGTCTCTTGGCACCTTCAGAGTTCGTCGATATGGTGGATGAGAGTCTGTGTGAAGATCTTTCCGATCAGGGAAATCAGGACCCCATCCACTTGGCTCGATCCTCGCATTGTATGAAGGTGGTTGAGCATAACTTACATAATAATCATATTTACCACTAGGTTCTCCCAAGGTACCAATAGTTGGATCACCTTCTTCATACCTTTGCTTGAATGACTTAATAGCCTTATTACGGCCTCGACGACCTCTATGATGATTAGTACCCTTAGAAGGAGTTTGTTCATCATATGAATCAATGAGGGCCAAATCACGAAATTCATCGACAACCTTACCAGGCAGAAGTCTTCGACTTTTGGAGTAATGTTTCTCTTGTTCCAAAAGTCGCTTACACTTTTCGCAAAAACGACGTGGCTGATGCCCCCTGGTGTTTGTCCGTAATGACACCATTCCTGTCATTACGGGAAAAGGATCGATATCAACTTCCATTGGGGACTTGCCTTTGTCTTCAGAAAATTTTATCTTCCCTTGTTTAATAGCTTCATGGACGTTTCTTTTAAATACGAGGCAGTCATTAGTGGCATGGCTCCATGAATGATGCCACTTGCAATACTTCTTTCCGGCTAATTCTTCTTTGGTGGGTAAAACCTGACCTTCCGTCAGCCTAATCTGTCCATCAGCTAATAATAAGTCAAATATTTCCTCTGTCTTGTTGATGTCGAAAGAATAAAAAACGGGATCCTTAGCCTTTGACATAAGGTTAGATTTTTCTCTGACTCTTGCTGGTTTTAGAGCTTTGCAGATGTACGGCTTATCAATCACCATTTTTGCGAGAGCCATATCTGCTATATCTATTGATTCGGCTTCATCCTCGCTCTCATCAACATCGGCCCAACGAACTTCACCCTGTCGACCATACCTTTTGTCTTTTTCCTGGAGGAGACTTTCATGCTTGGTAGCTATAGTTGACAACTGGAACAGATCCGAATATGGTTGTCCAGCCATTCTCTCTCGGATTTCAAACTTCAATCCATTAAAAGCGAGGTCCGCAAAAGTCTTTTCAGGTAAAGGGATTAAACACTTATTCCTTGCCCTCTTAAATTTGGAAATAAACTGATCGACAGACTCATTAGCTAACTGTTTCATGGTCGAGAGATCAGCTACAGACAAATTCGGCACGGCCCTTTGAAATTGACAATGAAATAACCTTTCCATTTGTTCCCATGATGTAACCAAATTCGCAGGTAAAGCAGTATACCATGTAAAAGCAGTTTTCGACAAGGACAAAGGAAATAACCTCAATTTCCAATAATCAGCGTGAGCCGCATCACCACATTGAGCCAGAAAACGATTAACATGTTCAAAAGTGGACTGGTCTTCCTCTCCAGTGAACAATGTAAATTCTGGCATTTTAAAACCTCTTGGATATGGTATTGTATCCATCCAATCAGGATATGGTTTCCTATAAATGTTTTGGAGGTATCTCGCATCATAGCCATATCCCCTCATTACAGGGTCCATTACTAATTGATTTCGTGCTGGACCAGCGATGGGCGCAGGAGCTACCACATAATTGGGTTGCAATGGCGGATTCAGATTTTGATGAGGTAATTGGTAGGGCGGCTGCTGTGGTAACTGTGGTTGCTATTGGGGTGGAAAATGTTGATTCACGTTAGGTGCCACAGGCTGAGGCGCCTGGATAGCAGATGGGCCTTGTATCTGAACAACCTGATGTCCTCTTTGGAGGTTTTCGTCTATCCCCGACTGTCGAGCAATTACTCCATTCGAGTCTGCGCTAGCGTACAGTAAACCTTCGCTGGTTGCTATTGGCAAGGTTTCCCCCCTTGGTAATATACGAATGGGTGGGATTGTAGAAGTAGTTTGCATCACTATTCCGAACTGTATAGCAGGACCCCCTAATGCTGATGGCGACCTTGTTCTCAGTTGGGTTGGTGCAATGGACCCTCCATGTTGACCTTGTGTGCATTCATGATAAGTGTTAATGATCAAAGGCCTAACCACTTCAGTCATACGCCTTACCAGATAATCAGCGAGCTCGTTCTGAGTTTCGTCAATAGTTCGCCTCATGGTAGAAAGCACAACTGGTGTGAGTTCAGTTTGCCTTCTTTCGTCAACACGCTGCCTCGATATGTCGGCGACCTCTTCTCGAGACTGGTTCGCCACCTCGGTATGAAGAAATTGGGCAGATGATGTCTCAGCACGGTTATTATCTTCCGCCATTGATACAGCGTGCTCATCAGTAGTATTATCCGAGTAAGTTCTACTTCGGGTGCGTGGCATAGCACTCTCTCGACTTAACTCAATAGTAGTCCCACCGGGCGTACCAAAAAGATGTTTCGCCGGTTTGTTACTCCGTCGAAAAATCTTTCACCGAACGCTGCGTTTCGGATTTTATTAGAGGAGACTAGGGTCTTGAGTCAAGCTTGGACAGAGAATGTCAAATGCGTTTATTAATCTAATGTAGATCTTACACCCTGACTCGATATGATGCCGAACTCGACAATACTAACCATGAAACGACAATACTAACCATACAAATTAAGCTATGCCGGAATTTAAATATTGCATATTTGAGATTGAATCGATTGATTATTTAGCAAATTATTTTTCACTCTACGAGGCAAATATACGTATTTTCATGATTCAAAGTAATAGAGATGCACATATAAACTCAGTGACCGACGAAGAATTTGTTTGATAGTCCTTCTCAATGAGTACAAAATTGTTACTTTAAATTAATGTATGCGAACTCGCATTAACTATCTTAATAATAAATAATTGTACAAATAATGGAAGCAAATTTGGACTTGGCTTCGACTCGTGGAGGTTCACGCCAAAACCAAAGTCTCTTCAATAATTATTTAAAAAAGAAGAAGAAAAAGCATATAGTACATTCTTACCAAATGTTCTTCATTCATTTAAGAAGAAGACTATTCTCTCTTGGTTTTCACCAAATGGCTCAATCCACCATCTGCCATCAAGAGTTGCACGGTTGTGTGGGTTTAAAAGAAAAGAAGGGAGAGAATCGGGGAGTTTGAAAATAAAGAGGCGGGACTATTTATTTTCACGACGAGATTAAGATAAAAATTTTTTAAGATTAATTAGGTCATTACTTGTGAATTTTGAAAAATTTTGCATTTGTGAAATCTAATGGGACTGTTCCGAGGTCTGCGCAAAAAGCTTTTATAACACGTGGCGCATCCATGGACTATATGGTTTTGATTTATACGAGAAAAATAAAAAAAGATATTACAAGCATAGCTGTCTTTCTAACATGGTACATCAGCCATTGTATGAGTATACGAGAGTTGTCCCACAATATTAAAGAAAATGAACTGTTGTACAAGAGAAAGAGTAACCACGCAAATTCGTAGGTAGATCCCTAAAATTAAAAAAAAAAATTGGGAAGATCCCAATCGTTCATCCTATATCACCTCCGCAATTAGAGCACTTCACGCATGGGGTCCATTTTCGAATCATTCATCTTTAGCGATGACCCTCAAATTACGCACCTCTATGAACTGCCACGCTCGCCTTTGGTCCTCGGCAGTCGGCCTTTTGTCTATGCCAACGATGTCGTCACCCTCGCCGGTGCCTGCCATGATTTGACCCGCTCTATGACCTCCTAGCAAGCGCATGAGTGAGGCATGAATGCTTTAACATACACCATAAACCCTAGCTCTCACTGAAACCGCCAACCTCTTGTTTCCCATCGAAATTTAAGATGGAAGAAGATATAACTATCCAGTATTTCATATTTCATTATTACCAATATGGATAATTGAAAAGAATCAAGACATCGTAATTCGTCTGTACCTGAGAAATGTTTTTACCATCGGTGGCAGATCCCACCATCAAGATTCAAGACTTAGCAACAGAAGATATGATGGGCTGAAATAGAAGGAATATGGGGCGACACTTTTAAACATGTAGAGATTTCTCAACATCTCTCCAGTCCACCATGCAGAATGGGAAAGGATAAAACAGAGAAAATGACACCTAGATAGGACAAAAATTGTCCAAAACAACAAAGCTACGACTCCGTGCCCAAATGAAGTATACATAAAAGCCAGTGCATTCCCTAAAAGTCCCTCGAGAAAACGCCAAGAAAGCACTACGTTTGCTGCTGACACCATAGATTATTCACTTGGACGCTTCTATGACCTCGTCCACAAAGGCCCTAAGGTTCTTGTCCGAAGACCCACCTTCCTTCACAGCCTCCCTTGCCAAATCCCTAAATTTCTGGGCATTCCTTCTCATCTCTTCCCCCTCCTTTCCATCTCCCACCACCAACTCCAAGCACCTCCTTATCTCGCCGCTCTCCACCACGCCTTGCTCGTTGGGCGTCACCTTCACTCCGGTCCTCCACACGTCTGTGACGAGCTTCGCGTTCGTCTGCTGATCGCTCCACTGCGGGAACGCCACCACTGGCACCCCGCAGACCAAGCTCTCCGACGTTGAGTTCCACCCGCAGTGTGTCACAAAGCACCCTATCGAAGGGTGCGATAGAACCTCCACTTGCGAGCACCATGGCACTATCATCCCTAGGTTTTCTAGTTCGTCTTTGAAGCTCAATATATCCTCCTCTCTCTCTTCTTTTCCGCTTTCCCGGATGACCCACAAGAATGGCCGGCCAGCCTCTAGGAGCGCCTGTGCCATTTCCTCCTTCTGTGGCTTCGATAGCACGGAGATGCTCCCAAATGACAGGTAGATCACCGACGCCTTTGGCTTCGTGTCCAGCCACTCGATGTAGCCACTCGAGCTCTTGAAGAGATCGCCTCCGAAGGAAGTGTCCGCTGGATCTTGCCCGTCCAAAAATGCAGACGGGATCAGCGGTCCAATCCCAATCACCTCAAACTTATCGATAGCCCGTATGGCGTCCGGTTCCAGAGCATCGAAGGTGTTTGCCAGCACCCTTGGATTGGCCTCCTCAAGTAGTATCTCGAAATGGCGTTGGAAAATCGGGAGGCTGAAGTTGTACTCATTTTTAGCATTGCAAAAGGAGGGTATGTCGCAGGCCATGAGAGGCGGCAACCCAGGCAATTGGATTGGCACCGAAGGATTGTCGCCCATGTTACGAACAAGATCGCCGTAGCCATGGAAGTAATAATAGTAGAAGTCCAAAACAGTGGCCGGTTGAATCCAAACGAGCGTCGAAGGAATGCCATGAGAACGAGCTACATCGGCAACCCACGGAAGGAGGGTGGTGTAGAACACACCCAAGAATTGCCGACCGTTCTCATGGTTTGAGGCGATGAGGTCGCTTAAAGTCTCCGATCCTCGTCGCTTGAGCTCGTCCATGTATACCTCCACATCGTCCCCTTCGTTGACACCGTCGTCGTAGCCATCAGAGAAGCTGGCGAAGGATAGCCCCTCGGGCGGAGATTTCGACTCGGCCATGCGGTGGCGGGCACGAATGGCGGTGGCGAAGGTCACGCGAGCGCCGACACGCACGAGACGCTTGGCGAATTGGAGGGAAGGGTTTATGTGGCCTTGACCGGGGAAGGTGACGAGGAGGAAGTGCGGAGGTGCCATGGACGAGGGTTGAAGAAACTCTTTGGAAATATTGATGATGCTGAGAGACAGCACTCGACAGAAGGTATGTGGTATGTGGATGTGGGAGGATTGACGAGGAGATTAAGGTGGAGACCGTCCATTATAAATAAGGAAGCGTATGAAATAATTACGTCTTGGCTGACGAATGAGGGATTGCTCGACTTGCACAGGTTGCTCTCTCTGGGGGACATTTCAAACAATGAAAAGCTACGTACTTACTTACGTCTTTGGGTCACGTGACAAAAAAAAGAAGTCAATTGTTAGGGTTCAGATTTATTTCAAAGATGAAATACGATTTTTTTTAAAACAAAAACACGTTAAGTGATAAAATATGTCTCAAGTTTGAATCCGTGAAATTTGAATTTTGAAAATAAATAAATAAAAAGGAGTAAAAAGGAAATATGTAGGAAAGTTTTTTTTCTTATTGTGCAAAAGTTGCTTCCAAGTAAAGCCGAATAAGGAAGATATGCACAAATCTGAATTTCCTATTCAGCGTTGGATTCAAACGTGTGATTAGAATTTGACTGTAAAAAGGAAAAGTTTAAGTTGTAGGAGGAAACAAATATTCTTGGGAGTAACGTTCAAGAATTGAAAAGTCCAACGTGTGCTTCAAGGCCATATATGTGTATCTATGTGTATATACATTCTGCAAGCGGGACGAAGAGCGTTGAAGCATTAACGTTCAACGAGTGCTTGGTGTGGGTTTTTCTTCGTGATTTTCTCTGTTGAATTACAGCAACAACTCAAGTGCTGAAGCCAACCAAATTCTCGTGATAAGAATTTGTATATAATTATTTTGTGAGATTGAGAGATTATTTTACGAGAAATTATAAAGTTAAATACTGAGTGAGTTATTAAGTGTAATTGGGATTAGGAAAACACCGAGAGTGTTTGAATGATTCGAGTGCAGTTATAATCTCTGTTGTACCGCTTAATCTATAGTAGAATTCATTGCTGCTTTTCATGTGGACGTATGTTACTATGATTGAACTATATAAATTTGACGTCCGATTTATTTTATTATTCTGTTTATTTATTGTTCAATCACTTACTTCCGCAATATTGTGGACTTAGATAATTTATCTCATATCTCCACCTGATTTCGCTACATATGAGACATCGCTCATTTTTTATACATAAGACGGGAAAAATAACGAAGTACACGCATTCAAACACATCACAACGATACGTCTACTGTACAAAGTTTGAAAATACTCTGAATTTCACTCTCTTCGAAATCCTTAAACCCTAATCTGTCATCTATCCATATGTAGCTACTGTGGTGAGATAGTACTTAGAAGTCCACAGTCAATGCTGGTCCTCTATCTCTCTCGATGGCCTTGCTAGCTACATAACCCAAATAGAGTCATTGACTTCAAGTGGCTTCTAGTCCCAACTCACTACGAGAACGTGTTGGAATATACTATAAGAACAAAAAAATATTTCCATTTCAATGTATGTCCCGTTATTTTTCTTTTAATATTTGATTGATCTAATAAAATGAAATTTGATGACAACATTTCATGAAGATATACGTTATCTACTCCAACATATAAAAACAGAGTTATTCAACACTCAAGTTAGGAACCTGCTAGTATGCAGACATCAAAAATATAATCAATGTGCAATATCCATTATATTCAATTATAATATGTAATTGCTTGATATTCCAAATTCATTCAAAATTGATGATAACATGAGTGGGTAGCGCTGCTAATTAAGCCTTAATGCAAAACAAAACGTTCTACTAACCTACTAGAGTTGGCGTAATTGATTGCGGCATAAGGGGATTTCCACATCATAAATTAAAAGTGACATGTTTAAATTGCACTAACAGTGTGCAAATTGCTTTAGGTTGAGACCACCTACGTAGATTAAAGATTTGGACTTAATTGGATTCATAGGCTTACAAGGTTTGCTCGGATTCTCTAGGTTTTCGGCTCTTTTCATGATCTTGGATTATTAGAAAAATAATATGCAGACATATGATTAACTGAGGAAGACACATATAGTCTGGTAAATATTGCACGTACCAATTGGTATATTATACATGTAACTAGTGGATGGGGTAATGACATATATATTCTTGAACTTTTGCTCATGGTTCAATGTCATTCCAGTACTTTAAAAAGTGGTTTGATGTGGTCTTTCCATGAAAAAAATTTGCTCACGTGAACAAAATATTCCGTTTAGTTTATGACTTATTGTTATTTATGTTCAATTTCATCCTCGTACTTTGTTTAATTGTTCAATTTAGTCCTTGAACTATTTTTTATTCTCTCTATATTACGCAATGTGAAATTTAGATTTAATCCCAACTAAAAAAGTTTATTAATTATGTCATGACAATTAAACCCAAATGTAACACATAAATTTAATTAATCACACAACTCAAAGCATTTAAAATATAAAACATAAAAGTGCTTACTTGTGTTTACATGTTATAAGTATATCTAAATGTATCTCGTGTTACACACGAGGAACACTTTAAATTGTTTTGCTAAACGAGTCCTAGCATGTCATAAACAGGTAAAAGGGTCAATTTATACTAGACATGTTTTTTATTCATCAGGAAAAAGCTTATATGAATATATTAAAGCATGTCAATGGGTGACCAAAAGGAACCGCCTGGACCAGGAATAGCTTGGATTGGACTGAACCAAGAATAGCATAGATCGGCCGGTTCTAGGCAGTTCCCGGGGGCACCGATATGGTTTTCAATTGGAACCGGTGATTTTCGGTTCGGTGCCCTGTTTCATGTGTGAAACCGCCCACTCGGATCGGACCGACTTTTTTTTTTATAATAATTTCTTACGAATCTGTAAAAACTAAAAGAAATACTTGGTATGCTACTTATCTATGACTAAACTCTTAAGCATGACTAAACTTTTAAGCATAAAGTCTGTAACACTTGTCCCTTCACAATGTATTGCGTTAACTAGCACCTTCTATCGACAAAAGAAAAAGAAAAGAAAAATGAAACAAATAATTCAAACAATGAAAGAAACGTAACAATAATTCATATACCATACATATTTGTGAAGAAAATGTTTCACTGTCGCAAGGTGAAATAGTAAGCTCCCAAATTCAACACAGAGGATAAAAAGAAAAGAAAAACAACGGTTCTATGGGCCCACCTAGAAACCGATCACCCCTAGTTGTGTCGAAAATTACTAGTCCTAAATAAGGGTAATCTAGGTTCATCTCGAAGAATATTTGATGACCCTTGCTATGTTAAAATGAAGGCTATTATAGAGAAAGAACTAGTTTAAGAACGAAATTGTACGAACAACTAAAGTTAAAGGATAAAATTGAACAAAAAATAGATAAGTCTACAGCTTTAATGGCCCTTTTAGTAAATTATTAAGTCTCTAACGAAAGGAGCACGCTGAACAAAAATTAGAAAGTTTAGAGATCATATATGACGAAAAAAACTTCATGGATGACATTAAACAATTTAGCAAAAACGTAAGGACTAATGGCGTCATTATCCCTTAGTGGATTATAGATATGTCTTGCATTTCATATCGAAATTGTAGAATGATGTTATAGAGGTTAACCACTGCATTATACTGATAGTATACATGTTTTTAGGAAAGCTATTAGCAAATTACGGGATTTATTTTTGTTTTCATAATATTTACAAGGAAACGGAGCTGCACAATTGCCGAACATCCGACATATGATTCACATTACAACTTAGAGAAGGGGACTGTGTAGTATAATTTGATGAGTTGTGCTTGCATAACGTTGCGAATTGAACCATCCATTCCGTTTTGTTCACTGGGGGCAACCTGATCAGTGATGAAAATTCATTGGTTTTGCATGTGTGTAGTATTTAAAGAAACAAGTCCGATGACATTATTCAAGAAAAAGAAATCCCCGAAGTAATCGACTACAGATTTTAGATCATGAACTTGATTTTCCATGGGCGTCACTTCGTTACCCCGGTACGGTTGTCTCTCTACAAAATGCCTTCAACCGCATAGTTATCACATCCGGCTGTCGTTTTCGCAGCAAATTAATAAGATGGTTGTCCCCAAAGTCGTTTTCACTATATAAGAGTTTCCACGATCTTTCAGGCTTTGATACCAACTAATACATGGAAACGAGAAAGACATGAGTAAAACACACAAACGTGAACTCGCAAAATGTACATGCACGGAGCGTCAAATAGAGAGAGCTGTCGACTTTTTATTAATTTAAAGATAATATAAAAAAAAATACACATCATGTAATAAGGATTCTGAGTTTGTCAAATAATAGATGGAAAGTAAATAGGAAAAAGTCACAAAAAACCTCAAATTATGCTCACTGTGACATATTTAGTCAGGACTTTTTTTGTAACATCAAAAATTTCAAACTATGCCCACTATGAGACATTTACTCTAAACTTTTTGTCGTGACATAATAAACCTAAAATTTGTACTTATGTGACACATTTACCCTTTTTCAAGATTCCGTTAGATGATTCTTCAGTCAAAACAACATCATTTTTATTTCACTGAAGCCACGTAGGCGTCATGTCAACATTGTTTGCTTTCTGGCGTACATGTAGAAAGATTTCTAACGGTTTTCGTTGACAGAATTTTCATAAAAGGTAAATATGTCACACAAATACAAATTTAAGATTTTTAGTGTCACAAAAAAAATTTGAATATAGTTTAGGGTTTTTGGTGGCTTTTGCCTCCGCTTCACGTGTCCACTTTTGTTCACGAGTACCAGCAATTATGCGTTCTGCGTGCGCATGAAATTGACATTTAGAACATAAAACAAAATCACTTTATATCATGAAATATTTGTATCATTAAATAATTGAAAGAAATTAGTGATAAGAATACACCGTTCTAATATGTGGAAAGGTAAAAACATTTTAAGATTTGACATCAGTCAAGACTGGCGGAGCCGTTATCTTCTCTTTTCCCTAATTTGTTTCAATCTCGTGTCTCATGGTCAAATATATGCCAAATGTACGTATTTACTTATAATATACAAAATTTATCCCCACTTACTCATTGATGCTACGTTTTCGAAAATAAATTATTTAAAAAATATTTTCGTAAAAATAATTACTTATATCATTTGAAATAATTAATCAATAAA